CCAAAAACAGGTGGAAGATGTAACCTAAAAAGAAAACTACAGACCAACATCCCTGATAAACATAGACACAAAAATCCTCGACAAAATATTAGCAAGTCAAATATATTAATACATGAAAAGGGTAATACATTACGACCAGGTTATGTTCATCCCAGAAATGCAAGGCTAGCTCAATAATCAAAAATCAATGAATGTAATTCACCATATTAACAGATTAAAGAAGAAAAACAATATGGTAGTCTTAATAGATACAGGGGGAAATTTACAAAATTCAATACCAATTCGTGATTTTTTTCCCCAAAGCTCTCAATGAACTAGGAATAGACAAATATTCACTTTTTAACCCAATAAGGGCCATTTATGAAAATGTATGGCCAACACCACACTCCGTGGTAAAAGGCTGCATGGTTTTCCTCTAAGACCAGGAGATGACACAGACGTCTTCCCTCACTGCTCCTTCCAACATCACACTAAAAGTCCTCCCAGCACACCAACGTAAGAAAAAGAAATAAAAGGCATACGTATTGGAAAGGAAGAAATAACAAAAATTGACGGTCTACATGGAAAACCCTCAAGAATCTACAAAAAGACTCCTAGAAGAGAGTCTGGCAAGGTTGAAGGATGCAAGCTTAAAGGAGTAAAAGTAACAACATTTAATTACATTTACTTATCTTAGCAATAAACACTTGGAACTCAAAAATATTGTTTAAAATCATAATTTACAATAGAATAAAAAATGAAAATATAGGTATAATCTAACAGAGTATGTACCTAATAAGAACTATGAAAATAGTGATGAACAAAACAAGCCAGACAGAAATACGTGGAGATGTGCACCAGGTATACCATGTTCATGGATGGATGCTCAACAGTGTTACGATGTCAGTTATGCCAAACTGACCTGTGGATTCGGGGCAGTCCCAATCAAAATCCCGGCAGGATTTTTTGTTGACATCAACAAGTTGACTCTAAAATTTATTTGGTGAGGCAAATGAACTAAAATAGCCAAAACAATTTGAAAAAGAATAATGAAGTGGAGCACTCACTTTACCAGATTTCAAGACTTGCTGTAGTATAAAGCCACAGTAATCAAGACAGTGTGGTATTGGCAAAAAGACAGACACCCAGATCAATGGAAGAGAATAGAGAAGTAGAGCCATACAATAAAGTCAACTGCTTTTTTTGATGAAAGTGCAAAGGCAACTTAATGAGATAGGACAGTATTGAAACAATTGGATGTCTGTATGTGAAAAAGGGTGATGCTTGACCAGTGTCTTACACTTCTGCAGTCTCCAACCCCTGGGCCACAGCCCAGTGCTGGTCCATGGCCTATTAGGAATCAGGCCATGCATCAACACCTGAGCTCTGAGCAAACTGTCCCTCCACTGTGTGTGGAAAAATTGTCTTCCATGAAACTGGTCCCTGGTACCAAAAAGTTTGGGGACTACTGTCACACTTAATATAAAAATTAAATGAAAATTCATCATAGACCTAAGTGTCAAATGTAAAAATGTTTAACTTTTGGGAAAAAAAAACAGGGGAAAATCTGACCTTGTGTTAGGCAGAAAGTTCTTAGATTCAACACCAAAAGTATAATCTATAAAAGAAAATATTTGATAAATTAGGCTTTATCAGTATTAAACATTTTTGTTCTTGAAAAGACGCCGTTAAGAGAATGAAAAGACAAAGCAGGGACTAGTGGAGGATATTTGCAAATTATACATCTGACCAAAGCACTTCCGTATCAAAAATATATAAAGAAATCTCAAAATTCATTATCAAGGAAACCTAATTAAAACAGGGGCCTAAAGATGTGAAAAAAAATTTTGCCCAAAAAGATGCATGGATGGCATGTAAAAAGATGATTTACGTTAATCCTACATAAAAGTATGATTTACAATGGAATAAAAAATGAAAATATAGGTATAATCTAACAGAATATGTACCTAATAAAAACTATGAAAACAGTGATGAACAAAACAAGCCAGACAGAAATCTGTCATGACTCATTAGGGAAATGCAAAGTGAAGCCACAGTGAGATACCCAACACACCTACTGGAATGGCTAAAACTAGAAGGCTGATCACGCCAAGTGTTGACAAGGATGTGGAGGAACTGGAACTCTCGTACGCCATTGGTGGAAATGTAACCTACTGTAACCGCCCCGGAGGACAGTCTGGCAAAGGAGCACGTTAGTTAGATCTGCCCAACACCTCTCCCATCACCATGGCAACACAAATTAAACCAGTGATAAGAGACCAATGCACACCTATTAGGATGGCTGGAATTTTTTTTTTTAAACTCGCAATATCAGGGCTGGCAAGGATGCATAGCAACCAGGACTCTTGTTTTCCTGGTGGAAGTGCAAAACTTTGCCAAACAGTTTAACCCTTTCTTTATAATGTTAAATATACACTGACCACATGGCCCAGCAATTCCGCTCCCAGATGTTTACTCTAGAAAAGTAAAAACTCGTTATCATGCAAAAAAACAATGTACACAAGCAATGTTTATGTGTATGGAAGCTTTGCTCATGATCATCAAAAACAGGATATAACCAAAATATCCTTCAACCGCTGAATGGACAAACTGCAGCAAATCCCTACAGTGGAATGAAAAGCAATGAAAAGAAATGAACTATTGATGGACACAGCGTGGATGTGTCTGGGTGCATTTGCTAAGTGAAAGAAGCCAGACCCACAGGGCCGCGTGCTGCAGGATTCTTTTCCATATTCCACATACCGGATGTGCAAGAGATATGACCTTCTAGATCAGGCGTCCTCAAACTACGGCACGCGGGCCACATGCAGGCCGCCTAGCACATTTAATCCAGCCCTCCGGGTGTTTTTGCCACTGTTGCCTGTCCTGCTTAGCAGCCGACTCGTCCTGGGCCCACAGTGTGCACTCTCCAATGGTCTGAGGGACGGTGAACTGGCCCCCCTGTTTAAAAAGTTTGAGGACCCCTGTTCTAGAAGGTCATGAATGAGGGAGGGTGGCCACAGTGAGTCAGCAATGTGGAGCTTTCTAGGGTGCTGGAGTCCTCTGCATGGGACTGCTGCACTTGTCAGGCTCACAGACATGCACCCACGAGACTGAGAATTAGTGAGGCGAGACGGGCGCCGGAGGGGGGGAGGGAGAGGAGCACTGCTGGTATTAATAGTTCCCTGGCTCTGCGAGGTCAGGACGAGCAGGTGTGCGTCCCTTCCCTGAAGAGGGTAAGAACACTGATACTGGGACGTGTGCCGGGCGCGTGCACGCCTGTAATCTGAGTACTCTGGGAGCTGAGGCGGGCGATCGCTCAAGTCAGGAGTTCAAAACAGCCGAGCAACAGCAAGACCCCGCTTACTAAAAATAGTATAATAAAGAATATAATGCGACTAAAATAAGTAAAAAGTCAGCCGGCATGTGTGGCGCATGCCGTATCCCAGTACTTAGTGAAGCAGGAGGATCGCTTGAGCCCCAAGGATGGACGTGCGTCGCCAGCTACGCCACGCACTCTAAGCCCGCAACAGATGAACTCTGCTCAAAAAACAAAAAGAAAAAAAAAGAGCAGAAACCTTAACTGACGTTCGCCGATGTTTCTGCTCATTTTCTGTACTCTGCTTCCCTTTGAATCTGCGTTTTGTTTGGGGGGCGATGAGCTCTGGAGACGCGTTCGCGGTTCGGTCATCCCAAACGCTCTCACTCCCCTCGCCCCAGACAGGTGACGGAGGCCGTCATTACTCTAAGTCATTTTTCTCAGACTTTGAATATTTGGTCCAGTTGTGTTCGGGCATCCAGATCCTGCAAGTTGAGCGGGAGGCCGTTCTCTCTGGAAGCCTCTAGGGCTTTCTCTCTGTTTGGTGTCAGAAATTCCTCCAGCCCGCCTAGACGGGCACCATTCTCCACTCCACTTTGGCTCCTACTGGGTCGAAATTTCAGGTCCAGACACCCACGTTTCCCTTCAGCGCTGGGACATTTTCTCCCGTTCCTCCCGTTCGCCTCTCTCTTTCCGGAAATCCTACCTGATGGACGTTGGATCTTCTGGAAGGATCGTGTCTTTCCTGAGTTTTCTGGCTCACATTTTCCGTCTCGCCGTTCTGCGCCGGGTGGGCGCGCCTCTGTCTCTCCTCCGCGGGTCTGTCCCTGCTCCGCGCTTCCCATCTGCGGCGCGACCCGTGAGCAGACTCCCCGAGGGGCCCCCCAGCCCCATGCGTCGCCCCGACCCGGACTCAGGGATCAGGCCGCCCAAGGTAGCAGGACGACGGCGCCTACCGTGTTTCCCCGAAAATACGACAGGGCCTTATATTTATTTTTCCTCAAGAAGACACCCTAGGGCTTATTTTAAGGGGACGTGTTATTTTTTTTTTTAAGTACAGTACAGCAATCTACATTTATTCAAATATAGTGAAGTCGTCGTCTTCTGCAACATCATCATCACTCTCCACACCCCAATCCCATCCTGAATTTCTTGCGAGTCTGTTTCCCTTAGAACCATCGGCCCCGATCTCTCCTGTCGAGCAACAGAGCTCTCACGGGGTGGATGACAAGGGCTGCTCGTGTTCTTTCCCGCTCCGCGACGAAACGCATGGGTTGTGCAGACGCGCCGCGTAGCCACGCCCGTCACTAGGGCTTATTGTCGGGGTGGGGCTTCTATTGCGCGAATGCTTAGAAATCCTGCTAGGGCTTATTGTATGGGTGGGTCTTATTTTTGGGGAAACACAGTAGACAGCGGGCACCAGGCAGGGGCTCTGGCGTCACATGTGTCTCCTTCAGTGTCTGCCTAGAGGACCAGCCACAAATCACGGTGACAGCCCCGCCCTCAACCACAACCACACATTATACAGGCGAAGCCAACTCTTCCCTGTAAATAAACTAGGATTAACGAGGGCTTCCAGGACCCAGCTCAAAACACCAACAAGGAAAGGGAAGACCTGCTGAGTTCCAGCCACAACAACACTAGCCCCGGCCAGATATAAAAGCCTGACTGCCTGGAGGACCTCATTCCTCACTCACTCACCCTCCTCCCAGATCACCCTCCCAGCTCAGCCCCAGCATGGCCGCGTCCGCCGTGTCCGTCTGCTCCAGCGACCTGAGCTACGGCAGCCGTGTCTGCCTGCCCGGTTCCTGCGAGTCCTGCCCCGACTCCTGGCAGGGGGACGACTGCCCAGAGAGCTGCTGCGAGCCCCCCTGCTGCGCCCCCAGCTGCTGCGCCCCGGCCGCCTGCCTGAGCCTGGTCTGCCAGCCCCGTGAGCTGCGTCTGTCAGCCCCTGCCAGCTCCCGTCTGACACCAGCCCCTGCACCGCCCTCGAGCGCGCCCGCAGTTCAGCTGGCAGCCGTCCTGCTGGGTGTGCCCGTTTGTCGTGCAGCACAGCCTGTGTGTCTGTGTGCCCGTGTGCTCTGGGGGCTCTCCTCTCTGCTGCCAGCAGTCTAGCTGCCAGCCGGCCTTGCTGCACCCGTTTCCCCTGCCAGCCGTCCTGCTGTGTGCCGTGTGCTGCAAGCCCGTGTTCGTGGGCCCGGGTGTGCTCTTGGGCCTTCCTCTTCATGCTGCCGAGCAGGTCTAAGCTGCCAGCCGGCTTGCTGCACCCTGGTCCCCTGCGCAGCCGTCCTGCTGGTGTGCGTCCGTTGCTGCAGCAACCGTGTGCTGTGTGCCCGTGTGCTCTGGGGGCTCTCCTCTCTGCTGCCGTGCAGTCCTAGCTGCCATTCCGGCTTTGCTGCTACCTGCCTCCGGGGCCTGGCAGCCGTCCTGCTGTGTTGCCCCGCTGTGCTGCCAAGCCCCGTGATGCTTTGAGGCCCGTGTGCTCTGATGGCCTCCTGTTGCCTCCCAGCGCAGTGCTTACTGGCGCCAGGGGCTTGCTGACCTCCCCGCCCCGCCTGAGCCCGCCTGCTGCAGACGTGCCTCGCTGCGTGTCCCCTCCTCTGGCCCGGCCCGTGGGCAGACCTGGCCTGCTGTGGGCCCCCGCCTCCTCCTCCTCCTGCCAGCCCAGCTGCTACCGCCCGGCCTCCTGCGTGTCCCTCCTCTGCCGTCCTGCCTGTCCCCGCCCGGCCTCCTGCGTGTCCCTCCTCTGCCGCCCCACCTGTCCCCGCCCGGCCTGCTGTGGCCTCTCCTCGGGGCAGGGGTCCAGCTGCTGATGGGCACGTCCCCAGGGCCAGCAGGCTCAGGTCCCCCCATCCATGGCTGTGCCTCTCCCAGCCCCCTCGATCCCGTCCTGGCCCAGGTTAGGCGGCTGTCCCCACCTGGGGAGGGGCCCCCACGTCCCTGTGCTGCCCTGACCTCCTCTCCTGCCGCCCAGGGGCTGCCCCACCTGTCCTCTGTCCCTGTCCTCCCTCCCAGTGTCTCTGCTGTGGGTCACGTGGCCTCGACTTGAGCCTGTCAGCACCTCTCGGCTCCCAATAAACTCGCTGTGACTCCTGATTCTCTTCTCCTGTGATGCTGGTGGGGGTTGGGGACAGGGATTTGAGCAGACTGTGGCCTCCTTCTGCCAGGGACGTTGCTAGGAATGAGTGACTCAACCCAGAAACTGCAGGGCAGTGTCCTCTCTCCTCTGGGGTCACAGGTGGGACTCCGGGGCTTGCCCAGGGAGGTGCAGCTCGGATGTGGACATGGTGGGGTGGAGACGCTCTCTGCGGATCAGCCCCTTCCTGGCCGAGTCCCTGCCCTCAGGGCTGGGCTCCCTCATGTTACCGGCCACCTCTGGAAGGAGTTTGAGTTCACTTCTTATTGGCATCCATTCGTCATACCCACGTTCTGAAAGTGCCCAGATGGGAGCGTTCCCTCCGGCGGGAGGTAAACTCAGCCTGCTGCCTCCCACCATGGAAACCAGACGGCCGGGTTGTCACCTCTGCTCCCGGAACAGCCAGGGGCATGTGACCCAAACTGGGACTAGTGGGCTTTTCTGAACTGGACATCAAAATGAATGTGCCAACCATAGGAGGCTCAGACTTCTTTAGAAAAACGTTTTATTGTTATGATCTGAAGTGCGAGAAAAGACCACCTTAGACTCCAAATTGAGTCAAATTGTGAGTCTTTGTTTACTGGCCAGGACTACTCGTGTCCTGCAGAGAGGGGGGCACAGAAAGTAGTGATGAGCTGGGGAAAACCGGCCCCTTATAATGGCAAAAAAACCACACTCTGAAAAAATTATCTAATTGTTCAAGCACAGTTACAGGGGGCTCACGCGACTAGAGGCACATAAGTGAGGGTGTTGTTTTTTTGCCTTTTACCATGTGCTTTCCTGATGGTGGGAGCCCCGGTCCGGCTTTGAGCCCCTGTGCCGAGACTTCTCTCAAAGCAAGCTATTTACAGAAGCAGACAGTGTCAGGCAGCCTGGGCACAGTGAAATTTTACAGTGTGCAGCTGGCAGGATATGCATTCAGTTACAAGTGGATTGTTTTGCTTTCTTCTTACAACAATCTAAGTTTCCCAGCACCCGAAAGGATATAAGCAACCAGAAGCTTTGGCCCTAACACCTATGGTCCCGAGGCCCTAACAGTATAGATTTTGGCCTACAGTTTTATGTGGGCAAAGACTTCTGTATATATATACATATACATATATATATATGCGTGTGTGTATGTGTGTATATATATGTGTGTGTGTGTGTATATATATGTGTGTGTGTGTATATGTATATACACACATACAGTTTGTCCCTTAACAGCAGGGATGCGTTCTGAGGAACGCAGCATCAGGCAAACATGACAGGTGCACTTGCACATACCTGGATGGCACAGCCTGCCACACACCTGGGCTGTGTGGTGTGGCCTGTCCCTCCTGGGCTACACACCTGTGCAGCCCATGACCTGTGCAGCCCAACGCGGGGGGCTGTTGTGACACATGTATGTACTTGTGTGTGTAAACATAGCAGAGGTACAGGACACGTGGTGTCACGGCTCCATGGGCCCCCACCAAGCGGGCAGTGAGCAAGGGCCCACACGCTGTGGCACACGACTGTACGTACCGCGTAACTGTCTCCTCTTCGCCGTGCCTTTAGGCCTAGTCCCTTCCAACTCTTTACCCTTGACCGGGCTAGGCTGGGAGCGAGCGGACTCTAGATTGCAAATAAATGTATTCAAGTGTGCATTCGCCCACGTAACTCGGGTTGGAAAGGCACTCACGGGATTTTGAGGTCTCAGTGGACAGTGTGTTTGTATTTATTTTTGTTTTTTTAAAATTATGGTAAAATAGACATTACACAGAATTTACCATCTGCATCGTGTGTGCAGGTGCACAGCCCGGGGCACAGAGCACGGCCGCCTCAACTTCATCCCTTCTCAAACCGGGCCCTGTCTGCATAGACGCTGAGGCCCCGCTGTCACCGTCAAGGCTGTGTCCTGCTGACCCGCCAGGGCCCTCTCGAGAGGGGATCCGGCAGGACGTGTCCTGCTGTGTCAGTCTCTTCCCTGCGGTGCAGCGTCCTTGTAGTTCACGTGGCCTCCCTGGGTGACACCTGCAGGGCCAGGTGTGGGGACTCACAACATGGCTGCGTCCCTTGCAGAGCACACCTGGGGCGGAGTTCCCATCGTGTGTTAACTCCGTGTTTCATTTTTTGAGGACCTGCCGCATTGGTTTGCACGGCGGCCGCAGGATTGACATTCCCACCGGCTTCTCTGCACCCTGGCCAACACCTGACCTTCTGTTCGGCGCTGGCCCGCCTGCTGCGGGCGCTGTCACCGGAATGTGGGCTTCCAGGCGCCCAGTCCACAGCTGGGCCCGCCCACAGCTGGCCCCGCCCCTCGCCTCCGCCCCGCCCTCACCTAGCCAGCTTTCCTCACCACTCCTCCTGTTAGCCCCGCCCCTCAATCAGCCCCACCCCACTACTAGCCGCACCCCTCATGGCAGCCCCGCCCCTCACCTGTCCAGCCCTCCTCACCACCCTGTTAGCCCCGCCCTCACCTCAGCCCCGCCCCTCACCTGTCCAGCCCTCCTCACCACCCCCTCTGTTAGCCCCGCCCTCACCTCAGCCCAGCCTCTCACCTTCTCAGTCCTCCTCACCACCTCCTCTGTTAGCCCCGCCCTCACCTCAGCCCAGCCCCTCATCTTCCCAGTCCTCCTCACCACCCCCTCTGTTAGCCCCGCCCTCACCTCAGCCCCGCCCCTCACCTGCCCAGTCTCCTCACCACCCTGTTAGCCCCGCCCTCACCTCAGCCCCGCCCCTCACCTGTCCAGCCCTCCTCACCACCCGCGCAGGTCACCGCGGGGTCCGGCTCAGGCTGGCCACCGCAGGGCCAGATGCCCCCGCTGTCCTCCGAGGGCCACCATGGGCTGGGCGAGGCTCGGGGACCTGGTGCAGCCAGGGCAGGGCACATGATGTGGGCTGGCGTGGACGCGGGGCAG